AATCAGAGCTGATCCTCCAGTAAGGGGCGGTACTGTAGGTGAGGGATGGGCCTCTCCTCTAATCAGAGCTGATCCTCCAGTAAGGGGCAGTACTGTAGGTGAGGGACGGGCTTCTCTTCCAACCAGAGTTGAGCATCTAGTAGGGGGCATTGCTACCTGTGATGTGTTAATAGGGGAGTGGCTAGAAGGCAGGTTACTGAGAGGAGTCTGACTTTCTCATTCTGTCCTGCATGAGATCGGAGGGGTCATAGTTGACATGACAAACACACAACAGGCTAATCTATATCAGGTGGGTATTACAAAAATGATTGGTGATTCTAAATTTATTTTAATCAAGCTGCAGGACCCTTTAGGACTGGAGGACTGGAGTTTCCCATCTTGTTCCTGGAGATCCCTGGTCCTTCAGCACTCACAGGAGAACTTGATCAGTGAATAAAGTTGACGTTCATCTGGACGAGGGAAGGCTTTAATTAGTTCAATGAAGTAATTACAAACTGGTTAGTTCTGAAAAATGCTTTCCAGGTCTGGGGCCACAGACCCCACCTTGATTTGTTTATGTACTGTATATAGCAAGATGTATCGGATGTATCCATCTTGTTTACTTACTTACTTGTGATTGTCCTCAGCCAGCTGTGAGTTGCTTCTCTACAGCTACAGCACACAGCTGGAGTGTGACACTGGCCTCCCACAGCCCTTCATGAAGTAATGGGTTTCACAGATTCATGGACACAGCTCTTAAACAGTGGTTGTCTCTCCTGGTCCTGCTGGGCCTCTGCTGTATGTCTGTTGGTTGTTGTTACACCTGAGTCCTTAATCACCACTGCTGATTGGTGCCTATAACCGATCTGCTTGGTGGTTTAGACTTATTTCTGCACTCAGTCCTTGGTTTGAAAAAATACTGTAAATTGCTCTATTTCCAACAACTTCAGCAGACAGAAATTAATGCAGTCTCCCCCATCTTGCTAATGAGGAATTGTCTGACTAAACAGCTCTAAAGAGGTGATCAACTATATGATGAACAGACACAAGTTGCAATCACACGGTATCAGTTAGTCAAACATCACGGTATCCAGGCTCCATGACTCGATCCCCTTATCAATCGGGAATCAGACCTCAGCAGCTCGAAGGCACGGATGATATCAGCTGAACAAGGTTTCCTTACAGCTCTACAGGACCACTAACATGGCCTCTTACGACAGCTCGTTCTGACTCACCCCCATCACTACCTCAGCTGTGTCTGTCCGTGGGAAAAGTTACCGTGTGATGTCATGTGTTTTTGATTCGATGACAACATTATGATTACATTTAAGAACATAATTGCAGTGGGGCAGTAGTGAACAATAAAGCAATTAACTGAGCTGGGCTCAGCCGGCCGTGATTGTGTTTGCTTGTTTCTGTTCAACCGCAGCAGACATTAAGTAGCTCTCTTGCATGTGATGGCAGAGTGCAGTCGTGTTCAGAAACTCAGGGTTTGGAGCCGCTGGGGCATCACTCCAGCACTGACACTTTGAGCGGCGTAGATCAGGTGTGAGCGATGCCTCTAAGATCTAAGAAGCCTTTTCCTTGTCTTCAGATCATCGAAGAAGTGAGCGGCTCGTCCTACGGTGAGAGAGAATCCCACAGCTCGTCCTCCCTACTCAGATCTGACAGGCTGGACTCCTGCTGGGTGAGATGTTGGCTTCGTGTCTGGGGGTGTCACGGGGACCTGGAATTCCACCCTGCGGAGAGTTCGGTTTTATTTGTTTGGCTTGCCTTTTTAACCACAGATTCATGGAGCTTCTTCCACATTTGTCAAACGCTCTCACTGTTGTTGCCCTCCAGACTAAATCATTTGGTTTGCAGTGAAGTGTTCCTGGGATTCCTTCCAATCATCAGGCTGCGTGGACACCACTGCATGTTCGAGGAAACTCATTTCGCCAAAAAGAGCTATATTAATTAGGGGAAAATGAATAGGAATTAAAACTATTTATAAACACATTCAAGGCAATTTGTCATTATTGGAATGTTGGAGCTGGATGTGATCCTGACAATACTCGCTGGTAATTAAGCAAAGACGTTTAGTGATGACTTGGTTTCAGGTGTAAAAACCTGTCCTGAACCTCAGCCTTCTGGAATTCCACAGCCAGGAGGTGATGTGGCTCTGGCAGGGACATTCCAGGTTTTTTCCTCGGATTTGTGCTTTAACAGCTCAGTGCAGAGATCTTTGTCTCTGCTCCAGGCCGTCTCACAGGCCAGCCCATGTCATTTCTTTCTAGCAACTGGGAAGACTTGTAAGGTATTCAGCAATTAAGAAAGTTATTGAAGGGGCCTATGGCCCTTGAGGGTGGCAGACCTGTTAGTTGAACCACTTCTTTAGACACTTCTGGATCTGAGTCCCTGTGGGTTCAGAGAGACTTGGTGCATCTCTGCTACAGCTGTGAGGCGGTGACCTGAGAAGTGAGGTTAAATAGTAATAAATGACCGTCTTTCGAAAACAGACAATCACAGCGCATGAGCTACTTGTCACTTTGCCAGAAATGCAGTGAGGCTGTGAATGGGAATTTCTTAAAGCAAACATTCCAAAACCTCAGTACTTGACCTGATGCTTCCCCTCGCTGGCATTTTCTTTCTCTTCCCAGCACCACTAAGAGTGTGATGTATGAGCGGAGCTCACGCTGGCTCTCAGGCCAGGGGGATAATTCATGCTCGTTAGCAGCCTCAGAGAATCTCTCTCTTTTTCTCGCAGTCAAGCGAGGTTCTCCACACAGACTCCGAGGAGGAGAAGCTCTCTGGCGCCCCCTCGGCTCACAGCTGCCTGGAACTGAAGGACAAGGGTGAGTGTCCTCTAGTTGTGTGTGTGTCTGAGAGGGGGGCTCTCTTGGACACTGGACAGCAAAATCGAAAAATCACAGGGCTCTAGCCTTCAGGGCGAGCACCAGGAGTCAGATTACTTGACCTGCACAATCTAGCAGATCTTGAATCTGAACAGATCTAGCGGATCTTCCTCAGTAGGAGAAGCACAGCGCTGCTTGTGTGTACCTGCTCATACACCTGGAATTAAAGCACAGGTCTCATGATGACCCCTGACCCTGTGTGGGATAAAGCAGTTAGAAGATGGGATGGATGATCCTGGAGTGTGCCCAGTCTGGGCCTTTGCTGATGATGTCTTTTCCCTCCATGCTGACATCACTTTAGACACAGTGAAACATCAGTAGGTTCAGCTGTTTGGGTCACCGAAGCTCCTGCCAAATGCTCCCCAACAGTCACCCCTCTTCTTTCGCCATCACTGAGGTCTCCTCCTGCAGCACGAATTACAGGCAGCCAGGCCCGTCCAGCATGACGTATACCTGATCCCGAGCATCCTGGGATGTCACGTGCTTGACTAGCCCATGAGCCCCACCAGGTGTGTGCACTGTCCTGTCCGCTACCTAAGGCCCGCTGACGGTTTCTCCCGCGGCCAGGGTTCCTCAACGTGCTGATGAACTGCCAGTGGCAGAGCCTGTGGTGTCACGTGCAGGACGGGGCCCTGAAGATGTACCGGGACGAGGCGTGCGAGGACAGTCCCCAGTACTGCGTCCAGCTGCTCGGCAGCGAGGTGCGGCCGGGGCCGGACACCG